CAGAGCAATTGAAAGGTTTCTCTCCTGTGTGGGTCCTCCTATGGATAACAAAGTCTGACTTCTGACTGAAGATTTTCCCACAATCAGTGCAATTGAAAGGTTTCTCTGTGTGGCTCCTCCTATGGTTAACAAGGTTTGACTTCTGCCTGAAGCTTTTCTTGCAGTCAGAGCAGCTGAAGGGTTTCTCTTCTGTGTGGTTCATCCTATGTCTAACAAGGTGTGAGCTGCTACTGAAGTTTTCCCCACAGTCAGAGCAATTGAAAGGTTTCTTTCTTGTGTGGATCTTCTTATGGGTAACAAGGTTTGACTTCAAACTAAAGCTTTTCCCACAGTCAGAGCAATTGAAAGGTTTCTCTCCTGTGTGGGTCCTCCTATGGCTAACAAGGTTTGACTTCTGCCTGAAGCTTTTCTTGCAGTCAGAGCAGCTGAAGGGTTTCTCTTCTGTGTGGTTCATCCTATGTCTAACAAGGTGTGAGCTGCTACTGAAGTTTTCCCCACAGTCAGAGCAATTGAAAGGTTTCTTTGTGTGGATCCTCTTATGGGTAACAAGGTTTGACTTCCAACTGAAGCTTTTCCCACAGTCAGAGCAATTGAAAGGTTTCTCTCCTGTGTGGGTCCTCCTATGGATAACAAGGTTTGACTTCTGACTGAAGCTTTTCCCACAGTCAGTGCAATTGAAAGGTTTCTCCCCTGTGTGGCTCCTCCTATGGGCAACAAACTTTGAGCTGCTACTGAAGCTTTTCCTGCAGTCAGAGCAGCTGAAGGGCTTCTCTCCTGTGTGGTTCATCCTATGTCTAACAAGGTGTGAGCTGCTACGGAAGTTTTCCCCACAGTCAGAGCAATTGAAAGGTTTCTCTACTGTGTGGGTCCTCCTATGTCTAACAAGGTTTGACTTCTGCCTGAAGCTTTTCCCACAGTGAGAGCAATTGAAAAGTCTCTCTCTTATGTGGATCCTCCTATGGGCAACAAAGTCTGAACTTCCATTGAAGTTTTTCCCACAGTCAGAGCAACTGAAAGGTTTCTTTCTTGTGTGGGTCCTCTTATGGATAACAAGGTTTGACTTCTGACTGAAGCTCTTCCCACAGTCAGAGCAACTGAAAGGTTTCTCTCCTGTGTGGGTCCTCCTATGGATATCAAGGATTGACTTCTGCCTGAAGCTTTTCTTGCAGTCAGAGCAGCTGAAAGGTTTCTCTCCTGTGTGGGTCCGCCTATGGGTAACAAGGTTTGACTTCTTACTGAAGCTTTTCCCACAGTCAGAGCAGTTATGGGGCATGTCTTTTGTATGTATTATCTGATGGTTTGTAAAGTGCGAGTGCTGACTGAGGCTTTTCCCAGAGCGAGAGCACTTAAAGGGCTTCTTTCCTGTGTGGGCGTTTTGATGTTCAATAAGAATTTTACAGTTATTACAAGTGCAGGGTGACTGTTGATGGGGGATTTCCTGTTGAACGGTTTCTGTGTTTCTTTTTTCCCCTCTGCTGCTCTGACTGGATTTACCCTGTCCCACTCCTGGCTGGTTTCCGTGCTGCCTTTCTGAGCTATGCTGACTGTCGCAGCTCTCTCCCTGATCACGTATCTGGAAAATATGCCCTTCAGGTCTTCCCAGTAACATCCCACATGGAGACACTTGCTCCGAACCCTCTTGCTGCACAAGATCATGGTTCTCAGTCAGCATCCCCTCACCTGCTGGGATAGAGAAATAATCCAGACAGGAGTTATTGTCTATGATGAGCTGAAAGAAAACTCTAAAAGAGGAATAGAAAATAGAATTGAATTATCATGAGCTAAGTTATTCCTCCTTCTTCACAACCCTTCCACAAAGGAGAGGAACCAGCCTTTCCCCTTCCACCAGGCTCTTACTAGAACTGACGAACAGTCAGACAGAATACCTGAAAACACACAAGTTACACCTGCTATAAACTGGTTTCTGAGTCAGTTTAACTGACTGCTCATCTGTGTGGGTGTTGCTGATGATCTCCCCTTTCAGATCTGGGGATCTGGGACCTGCAACTCCTCCTCCCGCTCCACCTAAGAGATCACATCACTTTTGGAGACTGGAAATCCTGTTTGGAGAGCAATGAACCAAGGGCTGATCTTGTTCATTAAGGTTTTTGCCATTACTGCTTCCAGAGTCAGGATCTGAGTCACGCATCCAGTGAGGCTCTTTCCCCACCTTGCAGGGACTGAGATCTGGCTAGTACAAGAGCCCAGGACACACTCACCTTCAGTAAAGATGTATCCCCCCATGGTGGGAATGGCCCAGCTCATTTCTCAGGGGAGCTGAACGCTCTGCTGCACTCTAGGGTACAACTCAGTCCCCCACAAAGCCCATTTCAACCCCCTGGCATTCCAGGGCAGGACAGAAACTCGGGGCAGGTCACAAACACACTGCTCAGAAGGGGAGTTCTAGGAGGGCTGGCAGGTCTGACACCAAGGTCCCTAGGCAGGGCTCAGACTGTAGCAGCCACATGGCAGGTCACTAAGACTTGGAGAGCAAGGACCCAGCAGAGCTCTAGCTCAAGGCTCTGTCCACAAAGCTCTTGGCTGGGGGCTGTGCTCTATCTGCACTTTGGCTCAGATGTTGTACTTAGGCCACAAGGAGGCAGAGGAAGTTTCCTGAGCAGCAAAATAAACCCTTGGATGGTTGCTGCAGGTCCTGCCTATGTTCCATGCTCCTGATCAAAATCGCCAGTGCCTGGGTGGGTCCTGCCAGCTGCCCACAACAGCTGCCATTCCCATAGCAGGCCAGGGTGGCGCTGGGCTTCTCCCGGGGCCAACCAGGGCAGAGCTGGGCTGTGCTGCTTCTCTGGTTCTTGTAGCTGTTGCTCAGCTCCCCCTCTGCTGCCTTGGTTCTACTGTGCCAGCAGCAGCCTTTGTGTGGTTTCCCAGTCTGCCTCTTGTGGTGAGCCTGGCCTTTGATGTGGTGCCCCTCCAGGACTGCATAGAATCTATCACCTTTACACCCTGTGAGCGTGTTCCCCTCAGCTTCATCACAATCCCTTCTCAGACCTTCATTTAGTGTTTGGAAGAGCCACCTGTGATATGACTATGGAGATCATTGTGTTGCTGCTGCTACAAAACTGCAAGAAACCTTGTGCGAAGTGTGCTGTGTGTCATGTGAAAGGGAATATTCTGATCTGATGACTGTGATTATCTTGTTGATATCGATTATTTCTGAACTAGAACAGGCCAGGCTTTGGTAGACTGGTGGGGCACTAGGTACCAACTAACCAGGCAAGCACATTCCTGAGTGGGAAGGGGACAATAAACACACTGATCTCTGCAGGAACTGCAAACACACAGTCCTAAGAGATGGCTCAGAAAGACACTGGCCCTTATGCACAAGAGCGGGATGAGGGGATAATGGATACGGATGTTTTGTTCAAACAGACAGAAGGCTAAGAGGATAGCCTTGGAACGCAAAATTTGTGTCAATGTCTGAGAGAAGTCACAGGAGGGGCATATTGATGCTGGCTGAGGGGCAGCGTTCCGGCTGCTGACTGAGCTGGTACCGTTGTTGGGTTGGGACAAGTTTCATTGTACCTGTGCCCAGGGGGCACTAGCACCCTGCTCCTTTTCACAAGAAACTTGGCTGAGTGCTTTAGCCTCCGAATGGAGTCTGGGTCTTTCATAGCAGCAACCCTGAGCTGCGCTGCATGGGCAAGCCGCACGCTCTGCCAGTGCCGCTGGCATCAGAGCTCCAGAAAGAGCCAACCTGAACAGCCGTAACGACTCTCTGTGGTACTAGCAGCAATTCATAAGGCACTGTAGTTGCTACGGGAGCAAAATTATCCATCACAGCAGCACCTGGGAACTCGGGTGTAAATAAGGACCCCACTGTACTCTCGGGGTGCTCATATGGAGTGAAGCATCACCTCTCTTTAGTGTAGGTATCCTGTGAAACAGGGACACACTATAATAGCTACTGCAGAGACAGGCGATTGTGCACAGAGAGTCTACGTAACTTGATCAAAGTTACACAGGAAGTCTGTGACAGGCAGACAATTGAACACAGGTCTCCTGCAGTCCTTACCCGAAGATATTCCACTCTAAAAAGACAAGACAGATGACGTAATTTATCTCCCCTGCACACAGAGGCAAGTGAGCCCCAGAGAGAATGAAGCTGAACTTTTGGAAGGAAACCCAGCCTGTGTCTGAATGATAAGGAGAGCTCTGCTCACGTTTCTCTACCACAGAGCTACCCGAGAAAACACTCTCAGAGTGTGAACTGCCTCATCCACCTTCCCTCAGCCCCAGCACCCAGCCCTTCCCACTGGCAAAAAGCAGCATGTCACAAAGATTAGCCACAGGCAAGGAAGAACTCTGGGAACTGCACCCTCCTTCCAGCGGCTCAGCCCACTGCCACAACGGGACCCAGCAGGCACTAACCCAGCCCTTCCCACTGGCAAAAAGCAGCATGTCACAAAGATTAGCCACAGGCAAGGAAGAACTCTGGGAACTGCACCCTCCTTCCAGCGGCTCAGCCCACTGCCACAACGGGACCCAGCAGGCACTAACAGCCGCCAGACCCAGTCCCACAACTCTGTTACCTGCCATTCCTGCCTGAGTCCTTCCACTCACACCTCCGGCCAAGGCACAACAAGGGCAAGATGGGGGGAAGCACATGGAGACCTTGGCTGTGGGAAGAGCAGCACCTTTGTTATCTTCCTGAACCTGCTTCCACCTGGGAGTGGTGTGGAGGGGACTGTAGAAGCTATTTCATATTTAGCTAGAAGCCATTCTGTATAACAAAAAGCCATTTCAGTTTCTTGTGTCTGCACGAGGGAGTGAACTGGCCTTCACCGAGGTGGGGAGAGACCAGAGGGATGCGCTGTTGGAATGTGTTAATGAACTATTTTGAGCTGAAGCTCGAACTCCCTTTTAACCTGTTTCTTTCTATGCTGATAATAATTCCTCTTTGAAGTTCTCTTTGATTTCTTGCCCTGACGTCAGACTTGTTTGGTTAAGGGTATAAAATACTAGGATTGATTGTATTAAGCAGCCTTACTGGACCCAGCTTTGCTGGGACCACGTTTGGCTCACTTTGCTTTTATTGGCCAATAAAACTGTCTGTTTAGCCGCATAAACTGAGTGAGGCGTTTGCTTCGACAATTTGGAGGTTCTACTGAGATTCCTAACGCGCCACTTGCCCGTATGGACGGACCGGCACTCCACTTCCAAACCTCTCAGAGCACTCAATAAAAGGTAAGGAGATACCTGTTACGAAATCTCCTAGTGAGGGCTTGGGATTTGGAGTGACGGCCGGCCATCGGGGTAAGGGGAGCTACGGAATTCAATTTTGTGGAGCGGCTAACATTTTTGT